CAGGGAAAGTGGGGAAGGAGGCTGTGGGGGCAGATTCCTTTCTCTGTAGAAACTCAAAGGCGTAGGTGAAGCCAGACCGTCTGACCAATGTAATGTTATGGAAGGCTGCCTGTACCCCAACTTTGGGGGAAAAGAGATGGAAGAAAAGAGAACTAACCTGGACAAACTGCCTATTAAATTCCTGGTAGTCAGCTACTATCTTCATGGTCCCATGAATATTTTTTGGCACCATTCCTCTAAGGTAAGGCTCACTCTGCTTGTTTCATCAAGGAGAAAGCTGAGATTCAGAGGTCCTTCCTGAGGTCCTGTCATTGCTCCCTCCAAAGACGGCCTGAATGCATAATAGAAGAGGTGCATTTGCATGTTTGTGAGGGGGTCTCACACTGAGGTTTTGTTTCACACTTGGAGACATCTGCTGCCAAGGAGCAGAAGGACTCAGTATTTTCAAGCCACACTAAACTCCAAATGCTTAGGCCCATGAGCTCCTACAATTCCCACAATAGCTTCCATAGTTGGATTTTTATCTCCACTTCACAGATGAGAACTTGAAAACTGGAAATTGGAGAGGTGAAATGACCTTCCCAAGGCCACCCAGCAGATAAATGGGAGAGGTGGAGTTTGAACCTGGGTTGGTTGGGTGCCATTCTCTTCTCATGGCTCCACTGTGACATTTTTTGCTGAAGAGAATCAGTGAGTTGAGGCTGTGGGCTAAGCTGCCTCCTGGTGACCCTCTCAGCACCTTCATACTACCTGGTGTGGCTGTTCTCACTTCCCATGTTGGGTGATAGATATTTGTGCCTATGTCCCATCTCTGACTGTTGAAGCAAGAAATAATGTCCACTTCCTCTTACTAGTTGCCCCAGTTCTATATGGATGGCAAGGTTCTAGAATACTTATTGGATGGATAGACAAAAAGTGGATGGTGGAAGAATGGATGGATGGATAGAAGGATGGAAGGAAGGAAGGCTGGATGAAAAGATGGATGATGGGTCAAAAGATGGATGAATGGATGGATGGATGGACGGATGGATGGAAAGATGGATGGATGGGTGACAGAAAGATAGATGAAAACAATATTAACAATGAAGAATATTATTAAGCAAGGAAAGCATTTACTAGAAGATAACATTTTCCGAAAAGTTTGGAGGACGACAAATAACAAAAAGTAAAGGAAAGAAGAAAATCAGAACATTTCCAAGATAAGTTTACTTAATGAATTAATTACTGAGAGCCTAGCATGGTGAAGAGAACACTGGATGTTACTATCATCATCATCAATATTATCAGTCATCACCATCCTTAGCATTAATGGCCAACATTTATTATGATCTTCCTTTATAGCAGACACCGTACTAAGTATTTTATATCTTTTGTTTAATTTGGTCCTTCCAACAAATGCATGGAATAGGTATGATTCCCATTTTATGGATGAGTGAGCTGTTAAGCGCCTTGCATAATTATTGTTTTTAATTATGAAATCGTGTACACCTATGGAGAAAAATTCAAATAGGGAGTCTTGCAATTATCCTTGATTGTTCATTCCCACTTCTCAGAGATCTTACCAGCCAACAATCTTGTGACAGTGGCAGGATGCCAGCCCCAACTACCCCACGGCCCAGGACAAAAGGTCCTCCACAGCATTTGAATGTGCCAGTGATCAAGGAATGACTTGGTCCTCACTTGAATGTTCCAGACGTGGGTGTCTGGCTGTTGAGGTTCACTTCACAGTTCAGTCATTGTCTTGAACCACCCCCAAATATTTTCTATTAATATCCATGGCTTGATCCAAGTAGGCTCATTAACGTTCCAGAATATCGGTCCTTATCAACTTCTTACATTTACACGGTGTCCTTCGTGGCACAAAGAAGCAAACCATGTAGATACCTGGGGGGAAGCATCCAGGTGGAGGGAAGAGCAAGTGTAAAGGCCCTGAGATGTAAGTTAGCTCAGCCTGTGCTGGAAACAGCGAAGAGCCTAGTGCAGCTGGGGCAGATCAAGGGAGAACAGAGTGATAAGGAATGAGCTTGGAGGGGAAGGCCGTGGTATGGACAGTGGATTGTGTTATAAAAGTGACAGAGAAGTGTGTGGGAGTTAATGGATGCCACTTGTCCCCATTTTGATCTCTCCAGTGGCTTCTGTTTGTGTTTAGAATCGAAGGAAGGCTCTGTAGGGGTCCAGCGCCATCTGCCTCGCCAAGTACCTCTTGGGCCTCGCTCCTCCCTGCTCGCACCTGTTCTGGTTGTTGTTTAAATACATGTCAGCTTTTTCTCTCATCTTGCCTCTCCTGCCCAGATGAGCCACCAAACCCCTTCCCCTGGTTCCCCTCACGCCTACATCCCACTCTTCCTGAGGGTCTGTTTACAAGTCATTTGCTTGGAAGAGCCTCACCGGCCTCCTGTCACCTCGCCCCAGTTACTCTTTGTCTGTAGCCTTGGTCCTTCCCCTTCGTCACCATGATCATGAGTAAGAGACACATGCTTGTCTCTGGTTTATTCCCTTCCTGTCTGTCTCCTTCGTAGGCAGCCCAGCCCCATGAAGGCAGGGGCAAGGCCTGTCTCCCACTCTGCTGTCTCTCATCCCCTAACCCTGCAGCCCACGCATTGTACAGGCTCAGGAAATATTTGTTTCTGAATGAATGCTTGAAAGCAAACACCAAGACCCCTGTGGACAGGACAGGGGAGAGGCTGGAGGCCAGGACATCGGTGATGGAAAGTGACAACCATCTGGGGGATAGAAGGTGAAAGCCTGAGTTTGCAGGAGCAGGAGAGACAGAGAGAAGGTGATGCGTTCACGAAGCCATTCGGGAAGCAGAAGCCACAGGGTTTGATGACTGATAGGACGTTAGAGAGGAGAAAGCTTTACTGTTGGGGTGACAAATTGGGGGGTGGGGAAGAGCATTGTCTTAGCATTTATTTTCCGTGGTTCTGAAGGCTGGGAAGTCCAAGACAGTGGTACCCACAGATTCAGGGTCTGGTAAAAACCCATTTCCTGGTAGACAACCATCTTCTCACTGTGTCCTCATGTGGCGGAAGGGGCGAGGGGGCTCTTTGAGGCCTCTTTTACAAGGGCACTAGCCCCACTCATAACGTGTCACCCTCATAACCTAATCACTCCCAAAGACCCCACCTCCTAATGCCAATACCTTGGAGGTTAGGATTCCAACATATGAATTTGGGGGAGACACTTGAGCATCTGCCTCTTGATTTCAGCTCAGGTCATGATCCCAGGGTCATGGGATCGAGTCCCTTGTTGGGCTCTGTGCTGAGTGTGGAGCCTGCTTAAGATTCTCTCTCTCCCTCTGCCCGTGTTCCCAGCTCTCACTCTCTCTCTCTCAAATAAAAAAAAAGGGGGAGAATAAAATAGAATTTGACATTCAAAAGTTTGCCTGGAGAGCTCTGGTATGAACAAGGATTTGGGTGGACATTTCTGGACTACTTAGTGTCCCACAGCAGCTGAGAGCCCAGTCTCTGGTGTTAGGTTGTTGGGGTTCAGCTAAAAGCCCCAGCACTTATGAAGTTTGTGATCCTCAGCAAGATGCTTAAGCTTTCTGTGCGTCAACTTCCCCAAATGCGTAATGGGGGTTATATTAGTACCTCCCTCTTTGGGCTACTGTCAGGATCATAACGAATTTAGAATAGTGTATAGTACTCAATGAGTATTACCTGCTATTGTTTATGATCTCAGTTAATCATCATCACAAGCCTAAGTGGTAAGGTTAGCACCCCCATTTTTTTAGAGGAGGAAGCTGAGGCTTGGAGAACTTAAGTAATTTCCCAAGGTCACCCAGGTGGTAAATGGTGGAGTCAGGATTTCAATCAGGACCAGCTAGTTTCTGCAGTCAGAGGTGGGTCCAATTCTAGAGTCTGAACCACCAGCCAGAGTGAGAGCCATGAGTAGGTGGGCAGTGAATGAATGAGATATCACTCAGGAAAAAGCAAGTTTAGGGCTTGGTGCTGTAGTTAAGAATAACAAGAGAAATCGGAAAGACATTCCAATGTGTAGCAGGAAGGCAAGTGAGAGAGTGTGTTCTGAGACCCAGGTGCTCAGTAATGCCACCTACCTGTTCAAGGACCTGAATCGATGGCTTTGGGATTTTTTCCCCCAATGGACCATTCAGATTTGTTATTAAGAATTGGGGCCATCTGGTGTCTTTCCTGAGCTGCCTTATCTTTGCCTTAATTACTCATAAACCCAACTAACAATTTACAGTGGAAATGCCCTTTCACATCAGTATCTCATTGGACCCTCACAGCCTCTCCCGGAGGCAGGAATTATTAACCTACACTTCTGCAGGCGAGGGAACAAAGGCCCATAGGAGGGAAGCAGTTTATGAAGCTTGAGAACTCTGAAACTTGTGTAGACAGGTCTGCAGTGGAACCCGAGATCTGTCCCTTACCATCTGTGGTGTTTGGGCAAGTTACTCAACTTCCCAAACTGTGTTTTCACTCTACTGTAAAGCAAAAATAATCACCCCTGCTCCTTAGGTTGTTAGAAGTGGCATATAGTAAGCACTTAATAATTTGTAGCCAGGGGCACCTGGGTGGCTCAGTCGGTTCAGCATCCGACTTCAGCTCAGGTCATGATCTCACAGTCTGTGAGTTCAAGCCCCGCGTCAGGCTCTGTGCTGACAGCTCAGAGCCTGGAGCCTGCTTCCGATTCTGTGCCTCCCTCTCTCTCTCTCTGCCCCTCCCCTGCTCATGTTCTGTCTCTCTCTGTCTCAAAAAATAAATAAAAACTTAAAAAATATATTAAAAAAAATTCGTAGCCAGCAGTAGAAGCAGTGATAGAAGCGGAACCTCAAGACAAAACCAGGTCACCAGTTCCAGCCCTGGGTTGTTGTTTTTTCTGGAGAACAGCACATCTTTCTTTCCTGTAAGAGGGAGTTACTCTTCACTGCCCTCTGGGGATAGAAAGTAAAAGGGCATGACACCAAACCTGGCAGTTAGTGGAAGAGGAAGGGGCCCCGCGAGAACAAAATTTTTGTTTTCCTTCAGTCCAGAAAGAAGAGGCCAGTTGCAATGAATCGATGGTCCGGTTACCTGCTGGGATGGATGACCTTCCTCTACATCTGGGAGACAAGTGGAGGTGAGGGTACTGGGCAATGTTGGGGAGGATTTGGAAACCGGGCCAAAGTAAAGATTCCTGGATTCAGGTAGGGAGGAGATAGAGAGTCATCTGCTTCTGGACTACCTTGAGCGCGGATAACTGAAACCATGGAAAGAGAGACCGTGGATAAGCCGGGGACTGCTGTGCCCAGGACACAAGCACCATGTGAGATGCTCAGCACGCGTGGTAGGGAAATGCGAATACGTTAATTGAAAGGGGGAGGGGCTCCATAATTCCAGTGGACTGAGTCCTCAGACTGCAACTTGGACCCTCCCTTTCCACTCTTTTTCTTAAATTGAGGTAAAATGCACAGAACATAAAATTTCCCCTCTTAACCGTTTTGAAGTGCACAGTTCAGTAGAAGTACACCCACAGCGTTGTACAACCAATAGCCATGATACATCACCTGTACTCAAACAATGCACGTTTCCCCCGCCCCCAGCCCCTGGAAACCACCAACCTGCTTTCTGACACCATGAATCTGACTGTTCTACATACCCCACGAAAGTGGAATCAAACAATACTTGTCCTTTTGTGACTTTTATGTCCCTGAGCATAACGTCCTCAAGATTCATCCATCCATTGTATGGCCTGTGTCAGAATTTCCTTTCCTTCTAAGGCCGAATAAATATTCCACTGTGTGTGTGATACATACTATGGACATACCACGTTTCATTTATCCATTCATCCATGGATGGACGTGGATTGTTTCTACCTCTTGGCTGTGAACAATGCTGCTGTAAACATTGGGTATTACAAATACTTCGCGGGATATAACAAGGAGTGGAATTGTTGGGTCACATGGCAATTCTACGTTTATTTTATTTTATTTTATTTTATTTTATTTTATTTATTTATTTATTTTGAGGAACTGCCATACTATTTTCCAAAGCAGCTGCACCATTTTGTATTCCCATCTACAGTGCACAAGGGTTCCAATGTCTCCACATCCTTGTCAATACTTGTTGTTTTATGTTTAAAAGAAAAAAAGTAGGGGCTCCTGGTCGGCTCAGTCGGTACAGCGTGTGACTCTTGATCTCGAGCTTGTGAGTTCGAGCTCCACATTGGGTGTAGAGATTACTTAAAAATAAAATCTTTAAAATTTTTTTTAAATATTTTTTTTTGAGACAGAGAGAGACAGAGCATGAGCTGGGGAGGGGCAGAGAGAGAGGGAGACACAGAATCCGAAGCAGGCTCCAGGCTCCGAGCTGTCAGCCCAGAGCCCGACGCGGGGCTCGAACCCACGGACCGTGAGATCATGACCTGAGCCCAAGTCAGACGCTTGCCCGACTGAGTGACCCAGGTGCTCCTTAAAAATAAAATCTTTAAAAAAAAAGTAGCCATTCTAGTGGATGTGAGCCTACTTCTCAATATATCTAGGAATCTAAATTAACCACCTCAAGATGGTATGGTAAACATGGAAGGAGAACAAAGAGACACTCTGTGTCATAGTTCACTTAAGCTATGGCGAAACATTCTCCACAATTAAAATCCTTTTCTGCCTGATGAGCCCTCTCCCTTCAATAAGGCTCAAGAAACACTTGTTTTCATGCCCTTTAATTCCATGAAGTCCTTTTTGAATGACCACATTCTCTATTCCAGAAATTCCTAAGCTGAGGTCACTGGGCTAGCACTAGAGTTCATGAAACCCTGGCTCCGTATGTCAAAGGGTGTGTATTTATCAGGGTAGTGAGGATAGCTATTGTAACAGAGAAGCTCCAAACTGTTAGCAGCTTAACACAAAAAATTTATTGCTTGTTCCTACAAAGTCCAATGGGGGAGCATCTGGTTAGCAGGGATCCATGCACCTTCCACCGTGGGGCTCCACCATCCCCTAGGGTTCCAGGGTCCTCTGTGGATTCTTTGCATGGAGCTGGTAGACGAGGATCAAGAGTCTTATGATCTTGAAGGACAAGGTTTTTTTTGGGGGGGGAGGGGGCAGGAAGTGATACCCGTCACTTTCTCCCACTTCCATTGGCCAGAACTCACAGGGTGCTTAGCTGCAAGGGAGTCTGGGAAATGTAGTTTTTGGCAGTACCTTTGAGAGGAAGATGAAGCTGGTTTTGAACACACAGCAGTCTCTGCCACAGGGATGTATGGACATTTTCCTAGAGAGAAGATCTGGGTTCTCAAAAGAACTGACAAGTCCTGAAAAGGCTAAGAAGCCACATTTTATTCAGACAAGGAACAATGCCAGCTTTTCCAGTTAGTGTCTCTTTCTGGTCATACCTTCCTGAGACCACATCCATATTCCCGTGGTGAGACTTGGTATCCCTAAGTCTCCTCTGCACATAGTTACGGACTAATTTATTCAACACACATTTGCCGAGTGGTTCCCGAGTGCCAGGCACTGTGCTATGGGCCAGAAACATAGCAACAAATAAAACTCATGCCCTGCTCTCGGGAGAGCTCACAGCAAGTGGGAGTGATAGACACATAAGCAGATAATTATATTCTTAAGTATTCGGTAAGTACATTTATAGAGATCATCTCAGAGTATTATAAGAATGTGGAAGAGTATTAATCCAGGCTGAACCAAGTCGTATGGATGAGAAGCAGGGAGTAAAGAAAAGAGCAGGATGAAGGGCATGAGCCAAATGCCGAAGACGAGAAAGAACGTGGAGGAAGGTCGAGGAAATGTTAATCAGGCAGTGAGAACAGAGAGGTCAGCAGGGCCCGGATTATGGAGGATTTTAACCCAGTTAAGAAGATGAGACCATCTGCTGGATTACTTTGCAGATGGCTAATAGTATCTATTATGTGTTGGTTTGTACTAATAAGTCCCAAGGATAATCTTAATCCTGTGTACAGGGGCATCTGTCTGCCCTCCCCTCGCCACCAGCATCACACATACTGGTGGTGCCCATGACTGAGCATTATTGATGACGATGGTGATGGTGATGGCGATGATGACAGTTAACGTTGGCCGAGGAGCAGCCATGTTCCGGGTCCACTTCTAAACACTTTCCAGATATTAACTGCTTTCAACTTGGTCTTCAACCAAGACCACACAGTTCTGAGAGCCAGGGGTGGACAACGCAATGTGACTTAAGGACCTCCACTTGCCTCAGCCCATTGGCGAAGCTCAAAGATGGCAGTCTGCCTTTTCTGCTGTCTCCCAGCCTCACCCCTGTGATGGCCCAGGTCAGATTATACAGGATAAGAATCTGATCCAGAGCAAGAGATGGAGGTTCCAGGTTGAAGACAGAGATGATGTCTGGTTCATCCGTATTAGTAATAGACTGACTATCCCTAAATGTCAGTGGCTGAACTCAGTAGGGTTCATGTCATCTAGAACTTCAGTGTGGATGTTTCATGGGAAGCCACTTGTGTTGTGATTCAGAGACACAGACCCCTTCTGTACTGGGGCTCCACCATCCCACAGGGCCTCAGCGTACTTTGCAGGGTCCTCTTTCTCAGACTTTCTCAACCTGGGCACTGTTGACATTTGGGACCAGATGACTCGGTTCTGGGACATGTGCATGGTAAGGTGTTTAGCAACATCTCCAGCCTCCACCCAGTAGGAACCAGTGGTGCAGCTTCCAGGTCGCCCTTCTCCCAGTTGTAACAACCCGAAATGTCTCCAAACATTGTCTAATGTCTCCTCCACTGAGAACCACTGCTCTATGTCCAGCTGGAAGAGGAAGTAGGGAGCATAGGGTTCACCAGGGACTTTTCTGAGCGAGGATCTGGAGAAGATCATTTCTACCCACGTTGCATGAGTTGCAACTGAGTCACGTGGCCCCACCTATTAGGCCGGAAAATGGGTTCATTTCTACCCACATTCCATGAGTTGCAACTGAGTCACATGGCCCCACCTAACTGTTCAGCCGAAAAATGGGTTCTCGCTAGGAGTCCAGAAAGAAAAAAGAAGATAGGTTTGGTGAGTCCATGGAAGCTTTGCCTCACCATCTTTGGAACATGAGCACACACACACATGCACACACGTGTATGCACGCACATCCATAACCTATCAGAATATCTTAGTCATAGTATCCATAATTATGTCTTTGAGGGAGGGAGAAAAGGAAGGAGGGAATGACATGATGAAGGCAGGGAGAAAAGCTGTGATCCTGGACCAGTAGATAAAAAAAAATGCTGGTTCTCATCCCAGTTCTCAAAAAAGGGGGAAAAAAGGTATTAAGTTGAAATGATTCCTTATCTTACATGGGTATTCACTTTCTCCTCCACAATGTGGGCTAGAATAGCATTTCTTTCCCTTTCTTTAAAATGTTTTATTTATTTTTCAGACAGAGGAGGGGCAGAGAGAGAGGGAGACACAGAATCTGAAGCAGGATCCAGGCTCCCAGCCGTCAGCATAGAGCCCGACGCGGGGCTCAAACTCACAAACTGCGAGATCATGACCTGAGCCTAAATCGGACACTTAACAAACTGAGCCACCCAGGCGCCCCACTTTTCCTTTTTTTTTTTTTTAAAGTTTATTTATTTTGAGGGGGGGGGAGGGGCAGAGAGAGAAAGAGAGAGAGAGAGACTCTCAAGCAGGCTCCACACTGTCAGTAAGGAGCCTGATTCGGGGCTCGAACTCACGAACCAAGAGATCATGATCTGAGCCAAAGTCTGATGCTTAACCAACTGAGCCACCCAAGCACCTGTAGAATAACATTTCTTAAGATGTGTTTCAGGGAGGGGTACCTGGGTGGCTCAGTCGGTTAAGCGCCGGCTTCGGCTCAGGTCATGATCTCACAGTTCATGAGTTCGAGCCCCGCACCAGGCTCTGTGCTGACAGCTCAGAGCCTGGAGCCTGCTTTGGATTCTGTGTCTCCCTCTCTCTCCGCTCCTTCCCCACTTGTGCTCTGTCTCTCTCTGTCTCTCAAAAATAAATAAACATTAAAAAAAAAGGTGTGTTTCAGGGACCATTAGTCTCCAGCACTATTGAGGAGTGGGGGGAAAGGACAATTCAATATAATCCATACGCCTCCTGCTAATTCAACACTCATTTGCATGCTGACCCTTCTGATGAGTCCTTTGTTAAAGAAACGGGTTTAGCTTTCTTTCACGTGACATTTTCTGAGCTCATTCCATTCTGTCAGTTCTTTCTGAAGCATCTACTATGAGCAAGTCACGATTCTAGGTTCTGAGGATACGTTGTGTCAAAGACAAAGTCCTGTCCTCACACAGAGGAATACAAAAAGTACCCCTCAGTATTTGCCACATCTGCATGCCACCAGCACTATCATTTACCCAACCTTCTTGAAATGTACTCACTTGTCTTCACTTTAACACCTTTATCTTTAAAGAATAGTTAACATTAGCTCTGTAATCTGTAAGCGTTACTAACTTGCCATAAATAGAAATTGCACACAAAAGTAAATGCTATGAAAAGGAAATCTTATTCCTAAATTCTATTGGGTGCAACAATAAGGCTTTAAGCCTGGGTCCTGCCCTGTTTTTTTTTTTTTTTTGTTTTGTTTTGTTGTTGTTGTTAAAAAGGGAGATTATTAAAAATTAGAGGCATGGTAGAGAAATACTCGCATTAAATTGAAGTCTTCTCTTTTGTGTAATCAGAAGGATTGAAAAAAGCATTGAAATGTGAAATTGTTTTCTGGTCTGTGTTGCAGCATTATTTGACGTGTGTCGCTCCATTACCTACTGCGATGTCATGACCCGAGAGTGTCTGGTGTGACATTGACGGTGCTCTCATGGTCTGGAGGAAAACTTTATTCCAGTTGCCTTTATGATTTATGAGAGTCTTTCCCTGTGCTCTTGGTCTCCACGTAAACTGGACACACCCTTATTTGTCACAAGAAAGTTGGATGCCAACACTGCATGTGTCACCTTCAGAACCACCCACGAAAACCAAAGCAAGACTCACCCTTGGCTCATTCATTTGTGATGAAACCCTTCTATTTGTCTCTCTCTCCTCCAGGTCAGAAGGACTCATGTGTGTTTCCCTTCGTCTACAAGGGGTCTACTTACTTCTCTTGTATCAAAACCAACAGCCTGTCCCCTTGGTGTTCGACAAAAGCCGTTTACGATGGACAGTGGAAGTACTGTATGGAGGAGGGTGAGTGATGCCATGCTGTCCCCTCAGCCGACCTCCTCAAACGATGGATTATAAAAGAGAATGTGTGGATGTGTAGAATGTGATCATATTTTTGAAGACGAGTTACGACATCTGTGTGTGTGCATAGAAAGTGCGGAGGCCACATACGGGATGCTAACAATGGCTAACAATATGACAATGATAGTGTTAAAAATGGTGCTTTCTGAATGAAAGAGAGGTTACAGGGCCACAGGGAACCACTGTATTCTTTGTCTCTTTCCTAATTTTCTAAATTAATAAGGAAAAACAGACAACAAAGTGTAACAGAGAAGGGATTTGACAGACTCTGTTTGCTGCTTCTCAAAGCCCAAGACATTTTTGACAATTAGATGATTTCTAATTTTTCTGCACAGGACAAAAGGCATTTTGTTTGTTTTAACCAATATCCTGTTGTTGGACATTTTAATTGTTCCTACGAGCAGCCAGATTTTGAATATTTAGGATTTTCTTTTCACTTGTATCACTGCTCTTGACTCTGTTAGATCAAAGGCTCCCTTTGATAATAAGTATAACAACCCTTTTACTATCCTGAAATAAAATGTATACATAACGTTACCTATTCCAAATTCATAATTTCAGAATAAATCAACACAATCCCTTAGCTGCAATATAAGACAGAAATAAAACAAAATAAATTGATAATAAAAAGCACCATGATCATAACTAACCTAAAAAGATATTAAAAGGTGGCCAGAGGCTCATACCTCCAAGAGGAATCTCTTTGATTAAATGACTACAAAATGACTACAAAGAAGCCCCATTACACTGGGGGTGGGGTGGGGAACAAAAAAAAACAACAATAAAAACAAAAACCCAAGCTTGGAAGCAATACCATCTCTAGTTGAAAATATCGCTCTAGTTTAAATGATGCAAATCAGGATCTACTGGTTGAAATTGAACCCGAAAATTAGAAACAAACTTTTTTTTTAATTTCTAGAAAAGAGGTCCCCAAACATGCTTAAGACACACAAGAGGAGACAAAACTCTGCCCAAAGTGCGGATACAGACACAATCAGGGTCTAGAGATTTAACAGCCTGCATCTGATTAAACCTCTTTCAGCCAATCACAGAGGGCTCCTGTATAGATGGTTTGCCATTGGCATCGCCTCCCTCAGCCCTGGCTTCTGAACTAAGAACTGCTCTTTGGACCCCTAGTGGTGGGTTTCTCGCCACCTGTGAACAGCCCTAATTCTTTCCCTCCTACCCCTCATGTAATCCACCAATTAGCCTGTTGGTTCTACCTTCAAAAATCGATTCTAGCTTCAGTTTCTGGGAAGGAGCTGCCTCCACTGCTCCTATCCTTCTCCAAATCACCATCAGTTCTCCCCCCCCCCCCCAAATTTGTTAACTGGGCTCCTCAAATCCCCCCCCACCTCCCTCCAAATCAATTCCCCACACATCAGTCAAAGTAACCTTTTCGGAATGTGAAATCATGGAACGCTACTCCCCTGCCCCTGCTTGTGCCCCTGCATGGCTCACCAGCACACTTAGAAGACTATCCTGAGCCCGAAGAGCCAACACAATCCTGAGAAAGGAAAACAAAGCAGGAAGCATCACACTTCAGACTATATTACAAGTTATAGTAATAAAAACAGTATGGTATTGGCATAAAAACAGACACATGGATTAATGGAGCAGATTGAGAGCCCAGAAATAAACCCATGCATATATGGTCAATTAATTTATGACAAAGGAGCCAAGAATGTGCAAAGGGGAAAGAATGATCTCTTCAATAAGTGGTGTTGATAAAACTGGACAGCCGCATACAAAAGAATGGAACCGGACCCCTCTCTTATGCCATACACAAGGGTCAACTCAAAATTATTAAAGACTTGAATCATAAGATGCAAAACCCCAGAACTGCTACAAGAAAACATGGGGGTAAGCTGGAAGACATCAGTCTTAGTGATGGTTGTTTGGGTTTGACACCAAAATCAAAAGCAAAAATAAACAAGTGGCACTACATCAAACTACGAAGCTTCTGTGTAGCAAAAGAAGCCATCAATAAAATGATAAGGCAACGCAGGGAATGGAAGAAAATATTTGCAAATAATATACCTGATAAGGGGTTAATATCTGGAACGTCCAAAAGAACTACAACTTGAGGAAAGGAGAAGGAGGAGAAGGAGAAGAAGAAGGAGAAGGAGACACCTCACCTTGGTCTGCAAAGCTCTACAAGACCTTGCCCTTCTCTGTCCTCACCTTCTTCCACTCTCTTCCTTGCCTGATGAGCTCCAGCTACAATGGCTGTCATGCTTCTTGAATATTCTGAACTCCTTCCTGTCTTGAACCCTTCCCACTTTTATTCCCTCTATCTGGACCTCAATTCCCCCAATTTTTGCATGGCTGGCTTCTCCACATTGTGCAAGCCTCTGCTCAAGTGCCACCTGCTCAAGGAAGGCTTCCCTCATCCCTTCATCTATGACAACCCCTCCATCACCTCCAAATGACCCTGATTCCCTCACTGAGTGTGAGTAAATCCACCCACTATAAACATAATGTCCAAAACCATATTTGTTGTACTATTTGTGGTGGGAAATTCAATCTATGAAAGTTGCAATAAGGCACTAGCACCTGGATGGTAATGTTACTATATTTTACTTCACTGATATTTGACTTTTTTTCAGTAATGGCAACTTTTTTTTTTTTTTTTTTTTTTTTTGTATGCCAAGATCTTGACTTCACCTGTTGGTCGTAAACCATCAAAATTCTTTGTCTTGACTTGATTCCTACAGGTCTGTTGGTGATTCTAAGAGATTCATTTTTAAGACACTGAAGTAGATTAAGTTTGTTCAGCAGGTTGGGGGGCGGCGTTGTTGAGGTTGGGAGCCCTGTTGGGGGAAGCTTTGAGCATGAAAGTACACAAGTAGGCTTTCTTTACAACATGCTTAATAAAGTGAATGAATAAAATATCTTTAAAACTTGATGCTTGTCCTGTATTTTGATGGCTGACGGATGGATGGATGGATAGATCGATGGATGAATGCATGGATGGATGATTGAGTGACTGTTCTGTGAATGACTAGAGAAAGTCAAACCACTCACAGACTCCTTTCCATACAGATTACCCACGATGCATCTTCCCCTTCATCTATCGAGGAAGGTACCATAACAACTGCATCACGGAGGGTGGCTTCTTCAGAAAGCTGTGGTGTTCCGTCACCTCCAGCTTTGATGAGAAGCAGCAGTGGAAATACTGTGAAACAAATGGTAAGGCACTGGAGCAGGGATGGGGGTTTTGGTGGGGAGACGGGTGGGGGAGAGCAATGATCATTCTGAGGGGATGGTGGCATGGGGGAGAGCAGAGCATTGAGAGCAATACTTCTAGAAACTAAGTGTGTTCTTGGAGAATACATTAGGACAACCACAGGAGACAGGAATGTCCTAAGGCCATGTTCCCCCGAGTGCCTAATGTCAGCATGGAAAATCTAGTTTTCCTAAGAACCAGTACCATGGGCTGCAGTCCTGACATTGGTTTTCAACTATTTCTATTGCTAGACTTGGCAATACGTGGATTCACCCAGAGCTGGACCCTACCTGCATTTCAAAGTGGCTTCAGATTTCATCTTAATTCTATGCCTACTCTTATTCTTAAAATTTTTTTTTAATGTTTATTTTTGAGAGACACAGAGAGAGAGAAACAGAGTGTGAGCAGGGGAGGGGCAGAGGGAGAGGGAGACACAGAATCCAAATCAGGCTCTAGGCTCTGAGCTGTCAGCACAGAGCCTGATGTGGGGCTTGAACTCACGAACTGTGAGATCATGACCTGAGCCAAAGTCGGGCGCTTAACTGACTGAGCCACTCAGGTGTCCCTTAACTTATTCTTTTTAAAAATGTTTATTTATTTTGAGAGAGAGAGAATGAGCATGAGTGAGGGAGGGGCATAGAGAGAGGAGAGAGAGAGTATCTCAAGCAGCCTCCATGCTATCAGTGCAGAGCCCAATGCAGGGCTGGATTCCATGAATTGTGAGATCATGACCTGAGCTGAAATCAAGTCAGATGCATAACTGAGTGAGCCACCCAGGCATCCCTACTCTTAACTTTTTTTTTAATTTTTAATGTTTATTTTATTTTTGAGACAGAGAGAAACAGGGCATGAGTAGGGGAGGTGCAGAGAGAGAGGGAGACACAGAATCCAAAGCAGGCTCCAGGCTCTGAGCTGTCAGCACAGAGCCTGACGCGGGGCTTGAACCCACCAACTGTGAGATCATGACCTGAGCCGAAGTCGGATACTTAACCGACTGAGCCACCCAGGCGCCCCTACTCTTAACTTCTTAATGACCTCCATTCATTCTGGAGCCCTCTCTGTATTAGACTCTATATACCACATCCCACTGAATGTTTCCATAGAAGCCCTATGAGATGCTATTTTTTCCACATTCAATAAGTGGTCGCAGTAAAATTAAATCCTGTCCAAGGTCACACTCCTAAGTGATGTCAGAGTTGCATTTGAATGCAAGTCCATATGGCTCTGATGCCCCTGCTCCCTCACCAAACAGTGTTGCCTCCATTGAGATGAAAATTCACGTGAGGCACCTATCCATGAGCACACTTATTCCTGCTAAAGCCTTATTTATGTTTATCCCTTAGCACTCAAAAAACCATAATGCCATATAAAACCTTGAATTTTATCTTTGTCGTAGCCATCCATCACTTGTATCCTTAACCCTAAACCAACGTTAACCTTAGATCTCACGATAACTCCGTTGATGAAGCCTGCAGAGCAACTCTGTTGTAAATGGTGTGGTTGTTGATGGCTTGGGTTCTCACTTACACGCAAAGTGGATGGAAATAATAACATCACCAGGAACTGAACTGGAGCATGTTCAATGCCGTGTTGCCTTTCCTGAGATAAAGCATGGCGCCTACTTGATGCATGATACATGGAAGCTCTTTTTGTTATCTCTTCTTGTCCCTGTGACCTTTCCATCATTATTTTCAGAGTATGGGGGAAATTCTTTCAGCAAGCCCTGTGTCTTCCCCTCCGTCTACAGAAATAGCATGATCTTTGAATGCATTGAGAGTGAAAGCAACAGACTGTGGTGCCCGACCACGGAGAACATGGATGAGGACGGGAAGTGGAGCCTCTGTGCCGACACTAGTAATACGGGGAAGGGGGCTGGGTGGACATAGGCAGACTCCTTCACTCAATTACCCAGCAAACACTGACTCCAGCCCTACTGCGTGCCAGCCACTGTGCTGGGCGGTGGGCATGTGGTGATGAGTAAGACGGAGTCCCACCCTCGTGGATATCTGATGAGCAAATAGCACGAAAAATACGATAGCGTGATGGGCAAGATGCGGGCCGCTTAAGATCCACGAGAAAGGGGTCAATATAAGGTTTTCAAAATGTGAAACACCTAAGTACTTGCTTGCACAAACATAGAGTAAATCCACGCTAAGATTTAAAAAAAAAAAATTGCTAATAAGGAAATAACAAGGATAGTGAAGCCAATTCGAGGGACGTTTTAAGAACTACATAAAGTCGGTGAAAAGAATGTTGAGCTGAAGCAAGATTGTTAAGTTAGCCACCCAATCTGGTAACACCTAAAGGGCAATCAAGGGATGCCTGGCTGGCTCAGTTGGTGGAGAATCCAACTCTTGGTCTCAGGGTCATGAGTTTGAGCCCCACATTGGATATGGAGCCTACTTAAATACATACATACATACATACATACGTATTAAATACATAAATAAAAATAAAATAACACAAAGGGCAATCAAACCTTTGGGGTTGTCTACCAGACAGAAATTATCAGCATCTTTACCAAACAAAAATCATTCACAATGTATCAATCTTTTACAAGTTACAGAGTTGGGGCCTCCAATCAATAGCAGGTAGTAAGTCAGATAAAGTTCTATTTCCCTAGAGCAGGGGCCTGCAAACTCTCTCCTGCCTATGGGCTAAGTCTGGGCCAATGTTTCTCTTGGCCCCCAACCCAACTTTCTACACAGTTGAAAAAAGTCCGAAGAAGGATCCTATTTTGTGACGGGCAAAAATTATACGAAATTCAAATCCCAGGGCCCACATATAAAGACTGAGGCTGTATGAGGCACGAAGCTAAAAATAACTACCATCTGGCCCTTTCTAGAAAAAGTTTGCTGACACTGAGCTAGAGAACCAGATGGCCCTTAGGGACTGTTTAGACAGTGCTTTAGGAGGACATAAGTTCAGGATCTTTTGACCCCAATTGTGTGTTTTGGATAATTTTTTTAACAAAGGAAAACAAGTGTACATTTGGTGGGTGATAAGGGAAGAAGCCCACGAGGAAGAAAAATAGAACATTTCTCTGTAAATGTAACCTGATGGGTCCCCATAAAGGACATCCCAGGCGGCCTGGACTTCAGGACCCTGGACAGCTCTTCAGCACTAGGCGCGTTTTGCTCCAGAGCTGCGCCGCACAAGCCCGGCCCATATTGATTTGGGTTCCAAATCCACTTCAGCGAGTGGAGAATTCGCACATTCAGGATCTGTGAATGAAGACGACTCCCTGCAAGATGTCCTCTCCGCGCTTCCCACTTGCTTCCCTGGCTCCCCTGCTGACATGACGCTGTCCTCCTCTCTCCCACTGCCAGGACCCCTTGTGCCCCACGCTGCCCTTGTGCCCCATTTCCACACCCCACAGAGCTAAACTCCAATAGCTTCCCAGGGAAGAAAACCCCTCTGGCATTTAGGATTAAGTCAGTATTTCCTTCCTCTAATGGGAGTCTCTGAGCAGACCCATGGGCCATGTGGACCCAGTTTTTATTTAAACAATTTTTAATGTTTATTTATTTTTGAGAGAAAGAGAGAGAGCGTGCACTCACCCGCGAGCAAGCAGGGGAGGGGCAGAAAGAGAGGGAGACACAGAATCTGAAGCAGGCTCCAGGCTCCACACTCTCAGCTCAGAGCCCGACACGGGGCTCGAACCCACGAACTGTGAGATCATGACCTGAGCCAAAGTCAGACACTTAACCGACTGAGCCACCCAGGTGCCCCGACCCAGTTTTGATTTTAGAGGGGGCTCTGAAGTCTAAGCCTTCATCCCAGCATCAAGGCACAGGGGTAACCACTTTCCTATCCCCTTCTACTCCCTAGGAATTTCTTCACTGGTTCCTGGCTTTCCCTGCCACTTCCCATTCAACTACAAAAACAAGAATTATTTTAACTGTACCAGCAAAGGATCAAAGCACAACCTTACGTGGTGTGCAACCTCTTACAACTATGACCAGGACCACACCTGGGTGTACTGCTGATGCAAAGGTGAGGTGCATAGCATACCTGGGCAATGCCGCTGTGAAGGTGACATCCGTCCCTTCCAGCACGATTCGCTGGGGTTGCCAGCAAGGTGAGCTCCCTGTCCCAGAGATGAGGTGAAGTGGGGGTGGGGGAGGGACGGGGACAGCTTCCCAGATTAGTAAGAGGTGGATGAACCATTTTGGACCCAGAAAGGTGCCGTGCCAAGTGTTAGGTCTGGGAAGTCTTGGGTGTGCAAAGTAGGAGAATGGAATTTCTCAAACTGGGGCATGAGAAGGAAAGATGACCTTGAAAGGAGATGACCAGGACTTCACTGGGCCCCAAGAGCCATGCACCAGGTTATCGACCTGCTACCCGCTGAGTAGCCAACAGAGAAAAAGGTAGGGTTCAGTTCTCCTCCTCGTTGCATGGGTCCTTCCCCCACCTCTGCACGTAAGTCCTCAACTCTCTCCACAGGACCAACTTCTCTCTCCCTTCCAGTCTTTTCTTCTGATTCCAGTATTCTCCCCAGACCCCCTGTGTGGGCCCACTGACCTAATCACTCAGGATGTCTGGGATTTAACAAACAGAACCCTTTCATCAGATATGTGGATGGCTCTGGTGTTTCTGGCAATATTTGCCCTTATGATGCATGTGGCTTAGGGATGACACCAAACTTAGTGATTCCTCCCGAATTTTGCCTTGGCCATCAAAATCATCTTCCTGGAACAGAAGAGAGGCAACGGAATAGGTCTGGGGCTCTGGGTACCATCTTAACAGGGTGGCTATTAAAAATCACCCACAAGTCGTCCCCAGGCTTGGCTAGAATGAAGAACATTCTTAGTGCCCAGCCTCTGACTCTTGTCCACCAGAGCACAACTCTTTCCTTTGGGTCCCTCTTTCAGCAAGTCTAATACAGTAGAGGTGAGGTTAAGGTGCTCAGGGTTCAGTGCCTTATCGGCCGCCATGAGCCAGGTGAGGGGCAGGGGTAGGTCTAACCACTCTTGGCTCGGCCACCTCCTCTTCTGACTCAGTCTTGGAAGCCAATGCAATACTTTTTTATTCACATCACACTTTGAGTCAGTGCACACTTGTCACCTGAATGCTGGCTTTTGATTCTATTTTCAAGGGGAGGAGAAACATCTTCAGAGGAAGACGGACATACCAACTGTGGAACCTGCTTTGTCTTTTCCTTTCGAGCTTAATCACCTTTAGAAATACCTTGTCCGCCATTTTGCTTAATCACTTGGTCCTTTGTGAAGAACAGAGGGGGGAAATGTGGCCTAAACACCAGTAAAGGAGCCCACGGTTAACCCCCCAGGGGGCTGCCTTTGTGCTTCCTGGAATGGGATTCGGTGAGGGACCTGGACTGCATGGTGAATCTCCTGGTAGGAGGTCAGATTCTCAGCCCAGGGGCCCCTTGGAAGGAACTGCATCCTGCTATCTCTTTCCTGGAAACCATAGATTTGGGTGGAGCATTTTTAGGTACTTATGAAATCATTAATAAACAAATTAGTAAGTAAACATAGGGTAGAAAGTTCATTGCAAGGGGGCCCCTGGGTGGCTCAGTCGGTTAGGGGTCCGACTTCGGCTCCGGTCATGATCTTGCGGTCCGTGAGTTCGAACCCCATGTTGGGCTCTGTGCAGATAGCTCAGATTTGGACTCTGTGTCTCCCTCCCTCTCTGTCCCTCCCCACTCACACTCTGTCTTTCTCTCTCTAAAAAATAAATAAACATTAAAAAAGGAAAAGAAAATTCATTGCAAGACTACCTCAACTATTCCTTCCCCATGCCCATGGCAGACATGAGTAATCGATTACAGAATCTGCTTCCCTGTGAGCCCAGATGCATCCTTGTGTTATTATTGTTCGTTTCCCCTCCCCTTCCCCCCTCCTCCTCTTTCATGAAACACTCTGAGCAACTGCTACCCCTATCCCACACTGCATGCAGACATCAGGAATAGACTTTCACCATTCAGCCTCATTGGGTACCAATCTGATTGTCTGAAACGAGGTTGCAGAGACATTCGAGAAGCCTGAAGATCCCATGGGAGATCTTTTCCACTGTAGATCAAGACCAACCAGATGACCCATCCTTCCTTAATCACATACAAACAGGCCACAGGAAACCTGGCTCTCCTGCCCCCAGCTGCCACACAAGACTTCAGAGACAGACAGACATACTTCCCTTCCCTCACAAACTTTCCACCTCTGCCCCCTCAACCCAGGCACAGCCCTGTTCTTGAAGCTACCACTCTGACTCCAGCCTCGGCGCCTTGCTTGTGTGGAATCCCCCTTCCCTGGTCTCTGCTGAGCCACTCAGTGTTGGAGATGGAGATGTGTCCCCGGATCCCCCTTCTGCAGAGGACCTGCCCAGCTCTGGCCAATGCTGTCTGCAGTGAGCCATCAGCCATCAGTCCCAAATCAGGGATGTCCTCAGCTATGGAGTAACCTCCCTTGTGCAAGGTCATGCTCTTCCCAGGGCAGCCTGTGTGCAAGTGTTGACTGAGGGCAGGTTAAAAGTTCAGCCAGTTCAACCCCAGGGGGACAAGTCAGAAGAGCTAGGTCAGGAGTTTCCGTGGGCTCAGCTGCAATGTGTGAGTTTGCATTCCGGTTCCGTCCCCAGGTATTGAGCCTAAGGACACTCCTTGATAAACCTCCTGCATACTCAGAGGAGGGATGCTCGGAACCCAACCTGAGATAGCCCATCATTAAGAAATGTCATTTCTGGGGGTGTCTGGCTGGCTTGGTTGGTAGAGCATGTGATGCTTGATCTTGGGGTCATGAGTTCAAGCCCCATGTTGGGAGTAGAGATTACTTAGAAAAAACAAGAACTTAATAGTCATGGGGACCCTGGGTGGCTCAGTCAGTTAAGCATCCGGCTCTGGCTCAGGTCATGATCTCACTGCTCGTGAGTTTGAGCCCCGTGTCAGGCTCTCTGCTGACAGCTTGGAGCCTGGAGCCTGCTTCTGATTCTGTCTCTGTCTCTCTCTGCCCCTCCCCTGCTCGTGCGCTCTCTCTCTCTCTCTCTCTCAAATATAAAATAAAAAACACAAAAATATTAAAAGAAACAAACAAACAAAAACTTAATAGCCACAGGTGGTGAGGGGCTCCTGAATGGACAGTGCAGATCTAGAACATTCCATCATCATGGAAGATCCCAGGGGATTGCGTGCCTCTAGAATACAAGCTCCTTGAGGTCAGGTACCTTTTCATTGCTGTATTTCCATCACCTGGAACAATGCCAGGCATATAGCAGGGACTCAGCAAATATCACATTGAATAGGTGAGTGGGATGGACAGGTGTATGGATGGAAGGGGATAGAGCTGAGACAGGAGGCAGAAACCGTATTTTAAAGGGTGATCTGGATTATGTCACTCCTCTGTTTAAAGCCCTCCAAGGTCCTCAAACGCCTCTAAGAACACACACAGTTTAACCTCTGACCGTTCTGACTCCTTACCACCTACCCCCCTCCAGCCACCATGACCTCTTGCTATCCCTCCAACAGGCCAGCTACATTCCTGCCTCAGGGCCTTTGCATTCACCCAACACTGTGTTTGAAGTGCTCTTCCCCTCCATATGCCCCTGGTGCTCAGTAGACTCCTTGCCCCTACCGGGACTGGGGACTCCTCCTCATTCCCAGATCCCTTAATCACCTTCCTGCTCCATTTTTCTCCATAACTCTTTCCACCTTCTGCCATACTAACTAGGATTATATTTACTCATGTATTTTGTTCCGTGTCTGTCTCTTCCCTTCATAATGTAAGCTCCTCGTTGGGGGGGGGGGGGAGGTGGCGGTGGGGATCTGTGTATTTCATTCACTGAGATAGAGCTATTCTTGGAAGAGGGCCTTGTATGCAGCAAGCACTTCATACAACACTACTGAATAAATGAAGTGCCAGACGGGAAGGGAGGGAGAAAGGGAGGGAGAGGGAGGGAGGGAGGGAGGGAGGGCAAAAGGGAAGTGACCACAGCAAGAAGTTAGGAAATACATTATTCTGGTTCCACTCTTTTAAATTTAAATTCTATAAAGCGAGGCTATTGAGCCCTGATGACCCATTGCATACAACTACTTAGTGGGTTTCGAAAGTGAAATAAACTTGGTGGAAGGGTGTGACACGAATCCTGTACTTTGGGGACCTTGCGTTACTGGGGCGTCCTGCCCACGGGCAGAGGTGAGGAGGGAAAGACCCTCTGGTTTCAGGGTGCAGGTCAGTGTAGGGTGTGAGGGCTGGCCCGACTCCCCACCTACGAGAGGCAATCGCCCTGAGCACCCAGGGCAGACAGACACGGGGAGGGTGGGGCAGGGAGCTTCTAGGAACAGTTTCCACACCACCTGGCCGAGCTGAGGATTTGAGAATTCCCCCATCCTCTTTCTCGTTTGCGCGATGACATTTTGCAGGGGATTAATTCCCCGGGGATCAGCTTGCCCTAAACCTCCGTAATCCAGATTTATGGTTTAATTCAGTGGCCTGAGTATCTTACCCAAGTTATCTTACACCACGAAGTAGGAGGCGGGAGGGAGAAAAGAAACAACAACCACCAGACTGTGCTTCCAGGAAATCAAGAAAACGGACTAAGCTCACTTTGGAAGCCTCTTTAATGGAACCATTTCCAAGCCCGGTCTTCCCAGGAACCCTGTTTATAGCCCCAAGATTGTCATGCCTCCCTCTTACCAACAGAAAGAAACCGAGGAAATCTGAAGCAGCTGAAGCAAGAAGGGGGAAGGGTGGCCCATGGGCTGAGCTTTTTGAGAGTCTGACCCAAGAGGACACCAGGGAAGAGACTCTGCTGGGGTGTAGGCATTGGGGGTTACATGAAGTCGAGAGGTCATTAACCTCTGGAATTGGTGGGGGGTGGTGCTGACCTTGGTCCTGATCTCATTTCTAGCTTCTTATCTCATTCTAGAGAGGTTCCCCCTCACCCCGCCCGCCATCCGGGCAAAACCATCACTTTTGGTCCAGCCTCGACTCATACAATGCAAGGCCAGTCACCACGCACCCTCCCACCCTCTCTCCTGGACGGGCCCGAGGGGATCTGGTCTTCCACAAGTGTGGGGTCCATGCCTGCCTGGTGGGGAGAGACCGGGGGCTTCCAGAACCTCCTCAGCGAGACATCATCTTCACAAACTCTGCAAAGAAAAGCCCCTGGTAAGGCGCCGATTTGTAAGAGCACTTTTTGAGCCCTTTACTATGTGTCAGGAACCAAGGGTGATCTTTGGGAAACCCTCTGCTCCTCAGTTTCTTCATCTCCAAAATGGGAATCACAGGATCGCCATATACCTTACACAAGTTTTCCAGACGGTTAAACGATAGAATGCTTACAAGACCCATGAAGCGTTACACAATCGTTATGACTATCTTATTTCATCTTTCCAACCGATCCTGGAGGCGTAACTACCATTTCCCAGATAAGCAAACGGAAGCCAGTGAGGTTGACCAATGCGCCTGAGGCCATGTGGACGGTGAATGGAAAACCTTGGAAGGAACGCACTGACTCTGCGGTGACTCCATGCCCCATGAACTTCTGGGCCCCACCCAGGTCTTGAGGTCCATCCCCTGCGCAGGGGCTTCCCCTGCGCAGGGCTGGCCCGAGGATCTGTCTCTTAGCTCGTCCAGACTTTCAGTGATGCCCCTCGTACACCTGAGCCTGGCGAGACCCAGCGGGCATCCCGACAAGATTTCCTCAGTTACAGCCAGGCCATAAATGCCTCCTGAATTTCCCTACTGGGAATTACAAGCTGATGGGTCAGAGAACATCCCTGACCGGCCTCCAGGATTTGACATCCCAGGAGGCCAACACAACTCAAGGCAGTGAGGTCTGCGGCGATTATGTCCTTTGAAGGGAGGGGGACAGGGAAGCCTTTGTAGGGCAACAGATACGGGGGATACAGCCAGCTGAGGACGAAGGGACGCTTCATGGCAGAGACCGAGCTGTGCCGATTCCTGAGGGATGAAGAACACCGGGGAAGGTACCGGAAGCGGAAGGGACGTCAGAGAGGGAGAAACCGGATTTAGCGAACACAGAGCAGGCACCCAGTGTGCACCAGAGCGCAGCGACCCCGAGAGTGGGGACAGAAGTGCGGCCGGGGGTGGGGGTCACACCAGGGATGCACCTGAGTATCAGACCGGCAACTCAGCTTTTGTCCCCTGGCAGCAGTTAGATGCTGGGGCGCCTGAACTAGAGTCACCATGATGAGACTCTGACCCTCCCTGTTAGGTCTCCCACGAAAATGGTCTCCACTCCCATCCGCACGGATTCCCACGGGTTCCCTTCCACCGATCCCTCAGTACACGTGGGACGAGCTCTGTGCCAGGACCGGGGTGTGTAGGGAAGAAGGGTTCAGTCCGGGGCCTCCTCGGGAGGAAACAGGCGAGGCGCTATTACGAGCTCGGGTGATGTCACCCTCAGCGCTGCGGCAGAGGCACAAGGGGGCGCCGAGAGGAGGGGTGGGAGCACCTTCCGGTGGCATAACTGAAACTGGGCCAGCGGGAAGGGGCAAGGGCGTTCCCGCCCGGAACGAGCAGCAGCGTCACGCGTGACTTCTCTGGGTGGCTGGGACAGGTAAGAGACGACCTTGAATTTGAACCCCGTGCATCTGACCCCAGAGCCCCAGCTGGTGACCGGTCCACTCTCCTGATGGGACATTTCGTTCTCGACAAAGGCGCCCCGTGAGCCAGGGAGGGACAGGCACGGGGGAGGTAGGAGTGAGCCCTGGCTCAGAAAGCCACCCGCGCGGCGGCTGCCCCCTCGCGACGTCACCTTCAAAGTCGACCGTGCCGTCTCCGTTCACGTCCGCCTCCTGCACGACCTCCGAGATCTCGCGAGGGGTGAGCTTCTCTCCCAGAAGCCTCTGCATGGCCTGCTGCAGCTCCCCGAGGGTGATCTCCCCGTCCCCGTTGGTGTCAAACTGCTCGGGGCAGAGGCGCGGTGTTGGCAAGGACCGTGACCACAACCACAGTGGTCGGGAGCTAAGCTAAGTGCCCGTCGTGCACTCGAAAATGTCCTCAGCTCCCGGAGGGTGGGTCATTTTCACGGTCGTGTTCACCGCCCCGTGGCAGGTCCCCCAAACGGTGCCTTCCCCACGGTGCAATATTAGTTAAATTAATGAACTATTTTCAAACCTCCATGCTGCACACCCCTAACCAACCCGCACAGAAAGTCTCGTCCGGGCTATCTCCCCAGCGTGGGGGGCGTGGGGGTGGGGTGGGGGGTGGGGGCAGCTAACCATCCTCGTCTAGCCGCACTGATGCTAACCCGGCTGAAGCCACAATCGTCTCTTGCCTGGACCGTCATGACGGTCCCCTGATTGGTCCTCTGGATCCCATGGTGGTCCACATCTCAGGACCTCCTGTTCCTGTTCACTTAAGACAGAAATCAAGGGCCCCTGGGTGGCTCAGTCGGTTAAGCATCTGACTTTGGCTCAGGCCGTGATCTCCACGTTCGTGAGGTGGAGCCCGGCATCCGGCTCTGTGCTGACAGCTCAGAGCCTGGAGCCTGTTTCGGATTCTGTGTCTCCCTCTCTCTGCCCCTCCCCCACTCATGCTCTGTCGCTCTCTCTCTTCCTCTGTCTCAAGAATAAAAAAACTTAAAAAAAAAAAATTAAACAGAACTCAGGGGCACCTGGGTGGCTCAGTCGGTTAAGCATCCCACTCCCGATCTCAGGGTTCATGAGTTTGAGCCCCGCATTGGGCTCTGCGCTAACAGCACAGAGCCTGCTTTGGATTCTCTCTCTCTCAAAAATAAATAAACTTTAAAAAATAACAACAACAAAAAAATAACAACATAAAACAGAAATCAGATCTTGTCGCATCCCCTGCTGAAAATCATCCAGTGGATTCCTTATCCCCCTCCATGATATCCTGGCTTGTTCCGAGACGCACAGACTCCTACGAGGTTGGCTCTGCTTCCGCCAACTCTGACCCTTGTTGATCGCCTGCCACTTTCTCTCCAGCTCGGGACTCCAAGCTCCAAGACCTTGCTCTTGCCCACATCTGCCTTCCTGCCTTCCAGCGTCCGTCCACACCTGCTGCTTCCTCAGCCTGGAACATGATCCCCCCCGCCCAGAGCAGTGCCGTCCAGGAGAAATACAGTGCGAACTGCATGACTGATTTAAAATTTGCTAGTAGCCACGTTTAAAAAAAAAAAAAAAACGGTGAAAGAGAACAGCGACTTTTTAAGTAGACCTCACACCCTGTGTGGAGCCCAACGCAGGGCTTGAACTCATGACCCTGAGATCATGACCCGCGAGGAGATCAAGAGTCAGACGCGTAACCAACTGGGCCACCCAGGCGTCCCACACGTAGATGTGTGGCAGAGCCTGATCTCGGGGTCGTGAGGTCAAGCCCCATATTGGGTGTAGAGATTGCTTAAAAATAAAATCTTGATGGGGCGCCTGGGTGGCTCAGTCAGTTAAGCAACCGTCCGCCTTCGGCTCGGGTCACGATCTAGCAGTTCGTGAGTTTGAGCCCCGCATCAGGTTCTGTGCTGACAGCTGGGAGCCTGGAGCCTGCTTCGGATTCTGTGTCTCTCTCTCTGTGCTCCTTCCCTGTTTGTGCTCTGTCTCTCTCTCTCTCTCTCAAAAATAAATAAACATTAAAATTTTTTTTTAGTAAAATCTTTAAAAATTATTGAGCTATATTACATTTTTTAATTCGCACTGGATTTCGGAAGACTTAGCATACTACCATAGTAAGTACTTATACTTAGTGTGATTAGTTAATGTGCTCAGTGCACACGTATGCTTAAGCCAAGGATACTAAGTCTTAATCCAGGTGTATTTTACCACCGATAGTGCCTCTCAATTCAAACACCAAATAGTACAGGAAATACTTGACCTGTATGCACCTTGTATACAATTTAGAGTTGAAAGGGTAGATCTACATGCCCAAGTTTTTCCAAACAAAATGTTTCCCAATAACTGAATTGAATATTTGTTTTTGTTTTACTTTATTTATTTTATTTTATTTTTTTATATTTTATTTTATTTATTTTATTTTATTTTATTATTTTTTTATATTATATTTTATTTTATTTTATATTTTATTTTATTTTTTAATATTTTATTTTATTTTATTTATTTTATTTTATTTTTTATATTTTATTTATTTTATTTTTTTATATTTATTTATTTTTTATTTTATTTTATTTTATTTATTTTATTTTACATTATAGTTTATTTTATTTTTTTATATTTTATTTATTTTATTTTATTTTTTTATTTTTTTTTATTTTTTTAAATTTTTTTTCAACGTTTATTTATTTTTGGGACAGAGAGAGACAGAGCATGAACGGGGGAGGAGCAGAGAGAGAGGGAGACACATAATCGGAAACAGGCTCAAGGCTCTGAGCCATCAGCCCAGAGCCCGACGCGGGGCTCGAACTCACGGACCAAGAGATCGTGACCTGGCTGAAGTCGGACGCTTAACCGACTGCGCCACCCAGACGCCCCTATTTTATTTTATTTTATTTTATTTTATTTTATTTTATTTTATTTATTTTTACGTAGGCTTCACGCCCAGCACAGAGCCCAATGCAGGCTTGAACTCACGACCCTGAGATCAAGACCTGAGCTGAGATCAAGAGTCAGACCCTTAGCTGACTGAGCCGCCCAGGCACCCTGTGTATTCCTTTTTAAAATTCAAACAAATTAAATTTATATTCTGTTGAATGTCAAAGGAAATTAAGTAAATAATCGAACTGAAACTAACCAGAATTAGAGAAAATGAACAAATCAGTTCCTCAAGTCATACTGGCCATGTGTCAAGGGCTTGGCAGCCACAGGTGGCCAGTGGCTACCATTTTGGACAGAGCGTTCCTTTCTTTTTAAAAAAATTTTTTAATGTTTATTTATTATTGAGACAGAGAGAGACAGAGCATGAGCACGGGAGGGGCAGAGAGAGGGGGAGACACAGAATCCGAAACAGGCTCCAGGCCCTGAGCCGTCAGCACAGAGCCCGACACGGGGCTCGAACTCACGAACCACGAGATCGTGACCTGAGCTGAAGTCGGATGCTCAACCGACTGAGCCACCCGGGGGCCCTGGACAGAGTGTTTCTGAGATCACAGGCAGTTCTGTCGGACGATGCAATTCTAGATCTTTATAAGGGGGAGATCTTCCTGGGATTGGGAACCCACGTTTGCACAGCTCCAAAGTCTTTCCTTCCAAACGCTATGCTGTTCTTTACTTTCGCCGCCTGTATTGAAAGCTCTGAGAAAAGCATTTTATCGGGGGACGAGCGCATTTCAGCAAACACCTCACCCTCCCTGGGTCTCATGTGTTAAGCATCTGGGTTAAACCAGATTATCTTTTTGCGTTCCCCTCTGGGATCTCAAGTTATTGGATTCCTTCTTCCCATTACAGACAGCGAGATGAGAGGTCCTAACATGGGCTAGGGGACTGCAGGACCTTGGGTAAGATTTAGTAAATTCCACGAGCCTCAGTTTCCTCATACGCATGACTGAGATAAGGGGCTGCTTACTCCCACCGTTATTTGCGATGATTAAAAAAAAAAAATCGGTGTGGGTGGGTTCTGTCCCCGCTTAAAGCCCAATCGTAGACCCCTGGGCTTTCTTCAACTACTTCTAGCATCGCGAAACTCTCAACTCACTTCCTTGAAGGCATCGCGCATCTCCTGGACGCCGATCATCCCCGCCGTTTCCTCAAGCAATTTGGGGGTCATCAGCTCCACAAAGTCGTCAAAGTCTACACGGCCACCCACTGGGGACAGAAGAGGCAGGTCTAAGTGAGATTCCGTGTGCCTAAGCCACCATTACCTTCAAGGTCTGTTCGAAGTAGACCTGTTCTGATCTCTCTACCTTCTGAGAACCTTCCCTCTCGGCCAACCCGGGCCCCAGGGTCCCTCTAATCCAAACCGGGGTGGATGGGGTGCACAGGGTGGCAGTAAGCAGCTGTCCGTGTGACCTCGAGCAAATCTCTTAATTGATTCAGATCTACATTCGCTCCTCTGTTTGTGCGCGGGGGAGTGCGAATTAAACGGGAGCCACATCCCTTCCAGATAGGAACACGATCCTGTCCTGGCGTTCGACCTCCTTTCCTCCATGACATGCCCAGAAGCAAACCTCAGAGCGATTCTGGCCCGGCTTCCTTCTCGAAAAGCCGGTGGTGATGGCAGTAAACCTACATCCCTAACCAAGAGCCTGACCTGCGTCACCTCCTTTGTCGCAATCGCACAAGGAGTGACATCATTTCTGCCTGACGGGTGGGGAAACTGAGACTCAAGAGTGGGGGTTGACTCCACTTTTCCAAAGGGGCCGGGGCGCCTGGGTGGCGCAGTCGGTTAAGCGTCCGACTTCAGCCAGGTCACAATCTCGCGGTCCGTGAGTTCGAGCCCCGCATCAGGCTCTGGGCTGATGGCTCGGAGCCTGGAGCCTGTTTCCGATGCTGTGTCTCCCTCTCTCTCTGCCCCTCCCCCGTTCATGCTCTGTCTCTCTCTGTCCCAAAAATAAATAAACGTTGAAAAAAAAATTAAAAAAAAAAAAACAACAAAGGGGCCACAGTCGGGGTGCCTGGGGGGGCTCAGTCGGTTGAGCGTCCGACTTTGGCTCAGGTCACGATCTCACGGTTCGTGGGTTCGAGCCCCACGTCGCTCACTCTCCCCCAAAATAAATAAATTTTAAAAAAAACCCCACAATCAGTAAATGACAGAAATGGGCCTTGAGTCCAGATCCTGCCTCTAAGGTCACCGTTTTTATTCACTTCAAACGCTGCCTCCTCGAGTACAGCCTGAGCTGCTCGGACTCCCAGTGGCTTCCGGACTCCCAGGGCCGCCTACCCTCTTCCTTACCTGCCGCTCAGCCTCCACATCCTTCCCGATTCCCCCCACCAGCCCGCCCCCAGCCCCAGTCCTTCTTCCCACCCCCGGCCTCACGGTTCATGCGGATTTGCTGGCCCAGTTCAGTCAGCTCCATCTCTGTGGGCATGTAGCCCATCGTCCTCATGAGATTCCCCAAATCCTTACAAGAGATGAACCCATCTCGGTCCTTGTCGAACTCAAGAAACGCTTCCCGAAGCTCTGAAAGCGAAGAGAGAAGAACTTTGGGGGGGACTTGAAACGGTGAATGGGGCAGACTGGCTGGGGAGACTTGAAACAGTCAATGGGGCAGACTGGCATCCCCTGAAACGATCAGGGAGGTGCCCACGAGAGACTTCTCGAGGAACACGTCTTTGAAAACCAAAATTTCGAAAAGGGGTGACATACAAAATGTGGATGGAGATGTCAGCGTGCAAGTGGAATCGGTTCGTGAGACCGCAAAGGGATGGCCCCGGAGTCTCAGATTCTGGGGGTGAAGTTATGGGAAACGTCAAAACCACCAGAAGAAAAACCAATAGGTTTTGATTCACCTTAAACGTCATGCATACGGACGGGCGCCTGGGTGGCTCAGTCGGTCGAGTTTCCGACTTCGGCTCAGGTCACGGTCTTGCCGTTCGTGGGTTCGAGCCCCGTGTCGAGCTCTGTGCTAACAAACAGCTCAGAGCCTGGAGCTCGCTTCGGATTCTGTATCTTTCTCTCTCTCTCCCCCTCCCCTGCTCATGCTCTGCCTCTCTCTGTCTCTCAAAAATAAATAAATTTAAAAAAAAAAAAAAAAGTCAGGCATATGGGGCACCTGAGTGGCTCAGTCGGCTGAGCGTCCGACTCCTGATTTTGGCTTACTCAGGTCATGATCTCACGGGTCATGAGATCGAGACCCATGCCAGGCTCTGCGCTGACAGCATGGAGCCCGCTTGGGATTCTCTCTCTCTCTCTCTCTCTCTCTCTCTCTCTCTCTCTCAAAATAAACTCATGCATGTGTCACTCCTGGATCTCCGAGACACTTGGGGATGGGTTTGCCTTCTAAACACTTTGGGAGGTGCCTAAAGTACCATAAGTTCCACAAATCATGGCTAAGTGGGAGGAGAGGGAGGTGGGACGAAAGGGTCTACACGGAGATGCACAAAGAGCAGCTTAGTGGCAGATGACCATGGGGTGTCTTCTGGGGACAGAGGTTACCTTCGATCTCATCCTGTCCCAGCGGTCTTTCCTGGAAAGGAATGCAGGGAGAGGGAATTTGGAGAGGGTCAGGGATCCAGCATCCACTTCTCCAACCACGTCCCCTCCCTCCTCTGAGCGATCCCTCTCCTTTCCTGTTTCTCCTCCGTTCTTGCTCGTTCCACCCACCCCTTCCTTCCCTTCCTTCGCTCACCTCCTGCCTCCCACCCACGACGGCTCTTTGCTTCTCGCCCTCTTGCTCATCGCTTCGCATTTCCTCTCTCCTGTCCTGGAATCTTGATCTCTCTCCCTCTGCCCTTCCTGAACGGACATCCATCCCACTGTGCTGAAAGGGGGCCTTGGATGCCATGGAATCCAGTCCCCCCCTTTTCCAGAAGAAGACAGTGAGGCTTAGAATCAGAGCAAACGTGCTCAGAGTGCCAGCTCTGGGCCAGACGTCCACAGTCCCTTCATTTAAACCTCAGAACCACCCGGTGCAGGGTAGGACCAAATAAATAGCATTCCCATCTTTATAAAAGAGGAAGCGGAGGAACAGAGAGGTTAAGGAAACTGCCTGAGGTCACACAGCTCCTAGGGGCAGAGCCCCTCCCAAGGCGGGGAGACTTTAAATCACTCCCTCCAGGCTGTGCAGCAGGTCAGATGCAGCGGGCGCCTGAGGTCTGAGTTCTGAGTCCGAATTCTTCCCGCTATACACCCCCTGGGTTCTTACCCCACCCACCCCATTCTTTCTCCCAAGGCTCAGAATCCCTTTTGTGGGGACCAGCGTTCAGCTACGGCGGCGCCGGAGGATCCGTGCCCCCCACGACCGGTTCCCAACCCGGCTAAGAATTTCCAATCACCGTTGCCGCCCCCGTATCTGGGACACCGCGAGGGTCAGGCTTGGGGCCGTCGCACCCGACCTGGGAAATCCCACCGAGTCGCTGCTCATCTGAAAGCCTGACAGTTAAAAGCGTGCTGCCGCCTCACCCGCTGTTTCTCGGCGATGCCTTTTCTCAGGAAGATGCAGGCGGGGCCCACAGGGACTTGCATGGAGGGACGGGACGTCTCGGCAGGCACCAGGCTCAAGTCGGCTCCCCCTCCTTCCCGTCCCCCTCGGTGGCGGTGGCTCAGCCTCCTTATCTTCTCGGTCACTCCTCCGCCAACTCTTCCTGCCTCTCCCTCGGCCCCGGGTGTCCGAGAGCTGTGACAGCTGGATCAGAAATCTCTACTCGGGTTGGGGAGGGGATCAGAGCTGTGTCTGCCTCCCCATCTGGCTCCAGTGAGACGGGCGGGGATGGGGCGGGCGGAGTCGGGGGAGGCCCGTCTCAGGCTCTGACCTTTCATCCCCAGAACAGGACTGGAAAGATCATTGCAAAAATGGGGATTAGAGCCCAGGGCAGCCCTTCATTCACGTTCCGGGCGCTCACCGCAGGCCGGGCCTCTGCTGGCCTCTGGGCGGGTAAAGACGTAGAGGGCACGGCCCTGGCCGCCGGGAGCTGTGTGCCACCTGCGAGGGCCAGCTGGCGGATGCAGGAACCCAGGGACTGGGTCAGAACCCTGGCTTCAGGAAGCGGGCACGCATCGCGACCAACAGGGTGCTGTCTGGGCTGCTTCTGCTCGTCTCTCTCTTCTGTCTCCCTAAATGATGTGGGGCAGGGGAGGGGAGGAACGAGGTGGGCATCCATGCTGGCGAGGGGGAGAAGTCATAGCCACGTGTCACCGCCCAAGGAGGCAACGAGGGTCTCTACCCCGGGGGTCGGGAGGGGATCCAGGTAGGGGGAGGTGCCCGCAGAGAGGCGGCACGGCCCAGGGTGCCGGGTGGGAACGTGAGCGTGAGTGGAGAGAGGCGGCGTCTACATGACATCTAGCGTCTGGGGCTCGACTTCTAAACAGCATTCTGCACTCAAAGGAACCGAGACCGGGAGACACGGCCGCTCCCATGACTGGAACAGGACCAGCAGGCAGATGCGCCTAGAAACAAATCTTGGGCCGTGAGGCCAGCACAGCGTTGTGGGGTCACAGCAAAGGAACACGGACGCCAGCCTGAACAAACTCCACTGGCCAGGTCGGGGGCCATTTGGAAATCCAAAGAAAGAACAGATCACCTAGCATAACACAGGACACCAGGAGTCCCCACCGACAGGAACAAAAAGGGCCAAGCTTGACCACATTTATTTACACGGCACAAAGTATCCCCTTACAACGTACTAATTGCACGGGAGAGTCGCTCTGTAGGGGGGACACTGAGCAGACACCATCTCGATCAAATGATTAAGACGAACATCTCCAGGGGTGCCCGGGGGGCTCAGTCAGTTAAGCGTCCGACTTCAGCTCAGGTCCATGATCTTGTGGTTCATGAGTTTGAGCCCCGCATCGGGCTCTGTGCTGACAGCTCGGAGCCTGGAGCCCGCTTCTGATTCTGTGTCTCCCCCCTCTCTCTGCCCCTCCCCCTCTCACTCTCTCTCTCTCAAAAATAAACATTAAATTTTTTTTTAATTAGGGGCACCTGGGTGGCTCAATCGGTTAAGCATCCGACTGCTGGTTTTGGCCCCAGTCGTGATCTCACAGTTTCGTGGGTTTGAGCCCCACCTCCGGCTCTGCACGGACAAGCGAGGCGTCTGCTTGGGATTCTCTCTCTCCCTCTCTCTCTCTGCCCCTCCCCTGCTTGCACGGTTTCTATCTCTCTCAAAATAAATAAATAAATAAATAAATAAATAAAAATCAATCAATCAATCCATCCATCCTTCAGTTACACTGGCTACATTCCAAGGGCTCGGCGGCCGCGTGCGGATAAAGGACATTTCCAGCCCTGCGGATAATCCCACCGGAAGGTGCTGGTTCAGACAGTTCCCATCTGTCCCCCGCCGTCCACGTGGGAGCTCCAGGAGCCGCGCCCCCAGCACCCAACACAGACTCTGACACCACGGTGGGGGTTCAATAATTATTTATTGAAAACACAAACGACTGCTGAAATCCCGGATCCCAACTTACACTGTCCCCGTGCGCGCACACACACATCTGACACTCAAAACCCACTCGACTGTGACACCGGATTTGCTGAACGACAGAGGTGATGCCCCCGCTGCCCCCGGGGAGGGTGGGAGCCTAGTAGAAATCTTCCGGGTCGGAGTCTAAGTCCGCGCCCTGCTGGTTCTGAATCTGACTCTGCTTCTTATACAGAGAGGCCACCTGAGGACAGCGGGTGGGAGCGGGCGATCAGAAGCCCCGGGGGTGCCCCTCCCCCCCCATTCCAGAACCCACCGCCGAGAAGCCGGCCTGGCCAGGCAAGCCCACCCGGGCCGAGGCCTCACCTGGGCACTGGTGGTAGCCTCCTCCGGCTTCTTGTCTTCGCGGACGCGAATAAACCGGGGGAAACGGAGGGAGATCCCCTTCTCGCTATCCACCTGGGGGAGGGGCGATGATGGAGACGCTCCCGGGGTCTAGCCCACAGGCCACCTACGCCAGTGGTCTCCTATCCAGTCTCCTCTCCGCTCCCTCCCCTCCGGCCTCAGCTTCCTCGTCCACACAATGGGGCCAAGCAACAGGTTATAAAAATTAAATAAGGCAACAAAGTGCTTAGTTAGGACCATACCTGGAGCGTAATAGGTGCTTAAGAAACACCAGCTACCGCAGCTGTTATTATATTATTATTCTTAGGGCCGAGAGGCAGGATGGCAGAGATGGGGTGCAGGTTCTAGAACCAGAGGCACGGTGCGAGTCCCAGCTCCCAACTCAGGAGCTGCGTGACCTCCGCTCCCGGGGCTCTATTTCCCCAGCTGCACACTGGGGATGTTCAGTGTCGTGAGGACAGGACGCGTGCGTGTGAGTGCCGAGCCTGTGAGCACAGTGCCCGCTTCGCACAGACGTTCCACAAACGCCGCTCCTGTCACTTGTCACCGGGGCACCCTGACTGTCTAGGGTGGAGTCTGAGTGAGAATTTTCGAAAAAGAAAGTCGATTTAAAAATAGGAGTCCCAGGGCGCCCAGGTGGCTCAGCTGGTTGAGCGTCTGACTTCGGCCTAGGTCATGATCTCGCGGTTCATGAGTTCGAGCCCCGCATCAGGCTCTGTGACGATGGCTCAGAGCCTGGAGCCTGTTTGGGATTCTGTGTGTCCCCCTCTCTGCCCCTCCCCGCTCACGCTCACTCGCTTGCTCTCTCTCTCAAAAATAAACAAACATTTAAAATGAATAAATAAATAAATAATAATAAAAATAGGGAGTCCCACTACCAAAACTGAAACAGGAAGAAACAGAAAATTTGAACAGACCCATAATCAGTAAGGAAATCGAATTAGTCATCAAAAATCTGCCAAAAAACAAGAGTCCAGGGCCAGATGGCTTTCCAGGGGAATTCTACCAAACATTTAAGGAAGAGTTAACACCTATTCTCTTGAAGCTGTTCCAAAAAAAATAGAAATGGAAGGAAAACTTCCAAACTCTTTCTATGAAGCCAGCATTACCTTGATTCCAAAACCAGACAGAGACCCCACTAAAGAGAACAACCGACCAATTTCCCCAATGAACATGGATGACCGACCAATTTCCCCAATGAACATGGATGACCGACCAATTTCCCCAATGAATCCTCAACAAGGTATCAGCCAACTAGCTCCAACAACAGATTAAGAAAATTATTCACCACAACCAAGTGGGATTTATACCTGGGATGCAGGGCTGGTTCAATATCCGCAAAACAATTAACGTGATTCATCACATCAATAAAAGAAAGGACAAGAACCATACGATCCTCTCAATAGATGCAGAGAAAGCACTTGACAAAATACAGCATCCTTTCTTGATAAAAACCCTCAAGAAAGTCGGGATAGAAGGAGCATACCTCGAGATCATAAAAGCCATATATGAACGACCCAACGCTAATATCAGTGGGGAAAAACTGAGAGCTTTCCCCCTAAGATCAGGAACAAGACAGGGATGTCCACTCTCGCCACTGTTATTCAACATGGTATTGGAAGTCTCAGCCTCTGCAATCAGACAACACAAAGAAATACAAGGCATCCAAATCGGCCAGGAGGAGGTCAAACTTTCACTCTTTGCAGATGACATGATACTGTATATGGAAAACCCTAAAGATTCCACCAAAAAACTGCTAGAACTGATTCATGAATTCAGCAAAGTGGCAGGATATAAAATCAATGCACAGAAATCGGTTGCATTCCTATACACCAACAATGAAGCAACACAAAGAGAAATCAAGGAATCGATCCCACTTACAGTTGCACCAAAAACCATAAAATACCTAGGAATAATCTAACCAAGGAGGTGAAAAATCTATATACTGAAAACTATAGAAAGCTTATGAAAGAAATTGAAGAAGACACAAAAACATGGAGAAAGATTCCATGCTCCTGGAGAGGAAGAACAAACATTGTTAAAATGTCGATACTAGGGGCGCCTGGGTGGCTCAGTCGGTTGAGCATCAGATTTCAGTTCAGGTCATGATCTCACAACTCGTGAGTTGGAGCCCCGTGTCGGGCTCTGTGCTGACAGCTCAGAGCTGGAGCCTGCTTCTGCTTCTGTGTCTCCTTCTCTCTCTGCCCCTAACCCCCTTGCATTCTGTCTCTGTCTCTGTCTCTGTCAAAAATAAACAAACGTTAAAAAAAAAATTTTAAAAAAGTTGATACTACCAAAGCAATCTACATATTCAGTGTAATCCCTATCAAAGTAACACCAGCGTTCTTCACAGAGCTAGAACAAATAATCCTAAAATTTGTATGGAACCAGAAAAGACCCCGAATAGCCAAAGCAATCTTGAAAAAGAAAACCAAAGCAGGAGGCATCACAATCCCAGACTTCAAGCTATACTACAAAGCTGTAATCATCAAGACAGTATGGTACTGGCACAAAAACACTCAGATCAATGGAACAGAACAGAGAACCCAGAAATGGACCCACAAATGTATGGCGAACTAATCTTTGACAAAAGCAGGAAACAATATCCAATGGAATAAAGACAGTCTCTTCAGCAAATGGTGCTGGGAAAACTGGACAGCGACATGCAGAAGAATGAACCTGGACCACTTTCTTACACCAGACACAAAAATAAACTCAAAATGGACAAAAGACCTAAACATAAGACAGGAAGCCATCGAAATCCTCGAGGAGAAAGCAGGCAAAAAGCTCTTTGATCTCGGCCGCAGCAACTTCTTACTCAACACGTCTCCGGAGGCAAGGGAAACAAAAGCAAAAAGGAACTACTGGGACCTCATCAAAATTAAAAGAGAAGGAAACAATCAGCAAAACTAAAAGGCAACTGACGGAATGGGAGAAGATATTTGCAAATGACACATCAGATAAGGGTTAGTATCCAAAATCTATAAAGAACTTCTCAAACGCCACACCCAAAAAAACAAAGAATCCAGTGAAGAAATGGGCAAAAGACATGAACAGACACTTCTCCAAAGAAGACATCCAGATGGGCAACCGACACATGAAAAAATGCTCAACATCATCATCAACAGGGAAAGACAAATCCAAACCACAATGAGATACCACCTCACACCTGTCAGAATGGCTAACATCGGGCTCTACTCTTGACAGTGTGGAGCCTGCCTGGGACTCTCTCTCTCCCTCTCTCTCTGCCCCTCCCCTGCTCTTGCTCTCTCTCAAACTTAAAAAAATAAAAATAAAAATAGGAGTTCGCCTTTAAATGGAAGCCCACGCCCAATCATAAAAGCATACGCTGGCTACATTTTTGAAGGACCAGAAGAAATCACAAAAGAAATCCATTTTTAATTCAAGATTTCTGGAGGGGAAAGCAAAGAGCGACCTCAGCGCCAGCCACAGGGTAGCGTGTCCCCCGTACGCTGACCCTTCAGAGCTGGTGCTGAGGACTGAGCCATGGGTGACAGAAATCAGCCCGGGGAATTTTAAACCTCGGTAGCGAGAAAATGGATTGAAGGAAGTGAAAAAGCGCCATAAGCTTTTACCCAAAAGAACCGTGTTTTTAAAACTCACTGAAGAGCCAAAGGTGAGATGATTATATTAAAGGAAACAATTTCACTGTTTACTTTCTAAACCTGGGGAATTGCTTTAAAAAAAAAAAAAAAAAAAAAAGAAAAAGAGAGACTTTGACCCTGTTTCTGACACCCAAATAAAACCTAAGCTCAAGCTTTCCTGGCTATTATCAGCCTGGAAGCACAGGTGTGGGCTCCGTGATCCCCTGCCCATCCCCCATCTGGAAGGCTGACCCCAGGTCCCTCCTGCTGCACCCCTGCGACTCACCAGGCCCCGGGCAGCGGGGTAGATGGGGGACAGGGACAGATCGGCGCATTTCACCTCCCACACGGCGCTGGGGTCCAGCCAGTGATCGGGGGCCACGGCGCCGTCGGCCCGGACGTAGGAGCGTGGGGTGGGCAGCACCAGCGCCTGTGGAGAACAGCAGCGGGTGGGAGGAAGAGAGGGTCTTGGATCTCAAAGTCAAGGTGAAGAAATGGGCAAAAGGGATAGACGGAGACACAGACAAGCCTTAACGTAAAAGCCTGGGTGGGGACGGGTGGGGGGGGGGGGGGAGGGGGAGGGGAAGAAATGAAGGACAGAGGCTCTGGGACCTGAGTTAAGACATTAAAGACAGGGGTGCCCGGGTGGCTCAGTCGGTTAAGCGTCCGACTTCGGCTCAAGTCATGATCTCACGGCTCATGAGTTCGAGCCCCGTATCAGGCTCTGTGCTGACAGCTCAGAGCCTGGAGCCTGCTTCGGATTCTGTGTCTCCCTCTCTCTCGGCCCCTCCCCTGCTCACGCTCTGTCTCTGTCTCTCTCAAAAATAAATAAACATTAAAAAAAAAATTTTTTTTTTAAAGACATTAAAGATAAAAGGTGCAAAGACAGGGACAGAGACCCAGAGAGAGAGAGAAGCGAGAATGTCACAGAGGCAGAGACACCAGCACACCGGAAAGGGAGTCTACCCCAAGATGCCTGTGACCATGACAACAAACAGTCCCAATTACATTACCAGGGGCTTACCCGGCCCCGCGGGGATCCGCTCAGGGCCAACTCGGGCACCCCTGCGGTGGCGCCTGCCCCGCGGCTCATCCCCCATCAGCGGGGGCAGGAGCGGGGAAGGTGGTGGAGACCCCATGACCCATCCCGTCGGCCGGCCGAGCTGGGACTCGAACCTGGACACGAGGGGCTCCCAAGCCAGCTCCACCACCCTATGCCCCCCTCCCAGCGCCCCGCCCCCACCCAGAGGGTGCAGGGAGAAGAGACGAGGCCGCGCTGCCCACCTGGAGGCTCTGGAAATGGTCCTCCAGCTCCTCGTCACTGAAGCCAGTTCCGAGCTGTGGGGAGGACGGCGGAGGTGAGAGGCGAGCTCGCAGGGCAGGCGGCCAGGCACTGCCCCCTGCTCCTGCCCCTGAGACCCGGCGACCTGCGCCTAGCGGAGGCCCCGCCCTCCCCCGGCCTAGCCGGCACCCACGAAACCCGCAGAGGAAGCTGCAGGGCGGGGGGCCGGGTGCAGACCCCGGAGCGGGGACGCCCTCTCCCTGCTCTGTTCCTTCTGCCCACCTGCTGCCCTTCGCCTTGTGGAGAAACCCTTGCTCCTTCCACCCGGCCTCCCGGGCCCTGGAGCCGCTCCCCCGGGGCTCCCCTCCCCGCCACCGGCCCCACAACCGGATGTCCTCTCCAATCTCAGCACAGCCAAAGCAGAACTCGCTGCCCGCGAATGTAGCCAGACAGCCGGCTTCAAACCGCACGTAGAAAACTTCCCCGCCGGGAAGCCCGTTTGGGGGTCGAGAGCCTGAAACAGCTTCCTACGTGTTGTCCGACAACAGCTCTTTCGGAAAACTGTGCTAGGTGCGTTCACGCAGGGTGGTGGCCGGTTGGGGCCCTGAGATAATCGGCCAACTGTAAAGCCGCTTCGGCCACGGGTCACCGGGGCTGAGCATCGGTTCAGCGGACAGAACAAAGCCGGCCCCACCGCAGCCGGCTGACTATAGGGAGTTCGTTCCGGAAATGGGGCGTGTGTTGAAAACTCAGCCGCAAGCGTCTGTCAACAGTCACGGGCCATGTCGCTAAAGCAGAGTCAGCGGCTAGTCGAGGGAGGACCCCCCCCCCCAAAAAGTCAATGACAGACCCCCGGGTGTCAGTTACAGGCCCCAACAGAATCCCCGACAGGGAAGAGTCATCAATTACAGGCCCCCAGACGGAAAGAGGGAGTCTGCATCCTAGAAGCCGTGACCGACCGCCCCCAGCAACTCAGCCAGTGAGAAACTGTCATCCCCCCCAAACGGACGCTTTTTTCCCCAATGGGTTTTTGTTCAGAACAACCCCTCCCAACTTCTCCCTCCTCCAAAGAATTGCATTCCTCTCCTTCGTGGGACCAGCTGTGGTTCTGCCATTGTCTGCGTGTCCCGAGCTGCAACGCTCTGCTGCTTCTGAATAAACCCGCTTTCAAATAACCGTTTTGTTTTTATTTTTAGGATTATATTAGCCCATTCAAGTCGTGTTTATAAAAGTCCTGGGGACAAGTGCAAACACCCTAATATTTTTTTATCCCTATGATACTTAAGCGTATCTGACGGTATTTAAAATGGTACTTAGAGGGGCGCCTGGGTGGCTCAGTCGGTTAAGTATCTGACTTCGGCTCCGGTCATGATCTCACCTCGTGAGTTCGAGCCCCGCGTCCGGGCTCTGTGCTGACAGCTCAGAGCCTGGAGCCTGCTTTGGATTCTGTGTCTCCCTCTCTCTCTGCCCCTCCCCCACTCATCCTCCTCTGTCTCAGTCGCTCAGAAATAAATGTTAAAGAAATAATAAAAAAGCAAAAAAAAAAAAAAAAAGGTCCTTAGTGGATAAAAAGTGCAAAAGAAAAAAAACCTCATATACAGAGATTACAACTTTGAAAAAGTAGAAATAAGATGTTCCCTCAAATATTAGTAATTGTTACCTCGAGGCACTGGAATTATGGGTAAGTCTATTCTGTTTCTGTGGCAAAAGCCTCACATTTGTTGGGTCAACGACGTGTGTGGCTTTAAACAAAAACAGAAGCCACTGCATTTTCTAAGGTCCCTTGTGGATGGCGTTGGGAGCAAAATTCTGACCAATGCCACTTAAACAGAAGTTGCTTGCTGGCTGAGGCTGACACAGGTGGAACATCCCTTTGCTCAGGGGCCTTTCCCCTTCCTGCTGCTTGGAGCGTGGCCGTGATGGCTGGAGCTCCTGCAGCCACATTAGGAAGGTGAGATTGGAAGCACACGACAAAGCCACTGTGCGGGGCGAGAGAAGCTGGGTCCCCCAATGACCTCGGAGAGCTGCCTGCCCCCCCTCTAGATTTCTCATTCTGTGGGAGAAAAACAAATCTCTCTGAAGCCATCACTATCTGTAGCTGAGCTCAGATATAGCTCATTCCTAACCTGATGTAGCTTCCTTACATCTTTCTACGCTAGTGTATTTTTCTACACAAAGCAAGAGTTCCTTGTGGGATCAGAAACAGCAAATAAAAACTAGGAAAGAAAATAACGCTTCACAGGGAGGCCACGAGAGCCTCTTGGTTCAGGCCCCCACCACGTTGAGTCGAATCGACTTCCCTGCAGCCTCCCGGTACCTTGCATATGGCCTGGAGCTCCTCGCTCTCCTCGTCGTAGGCCGCCAGCAGGAAACCCCCGTAGCGGCCGGCCCGCTTCCCACGGCCCAGGTAGGCGCCGATCACCACGAGGTCCAGGGTGTCGCCCACGCCATCGAGGTAGTCCTTCTTCAGCTGGGGAGGGAAGGCAGGAGGTGAGAGGGCGCGAGGCACGGACCTCGCTGCCGGAGGCTCATGGGTGGGTGGGAGGGGGGAGTCTCGGGAGAAGACCACGGATGGCCACCAGGCCGGGGCTGGACACAGGCTGAGCTTCTAGACTTCCCGAGTGAGTGGGAAAGAGGTGACCAAACTAGGAAGGGCTAGCAGAACTGAGGACAGGTCAGAGACCTCGGGGGTCCCCGTGGGTCCCCCCTTTCCGTTGGGACGAGGCGCATTCCGCTCTTTCACACGGAGAACATTTGCCATTTGTTCCAGGAACATTAACTCAGTGCCAGGCAGGGGCTCAGCCTTGGGCATGCGGCAGCAACAGTAAACGTTCCTCCCCTCCCAGTCTGGGGCGGGGGGGGCGGGCGCAGAGGGACCACGGGCCTCTAACAAACCCACGGGGCGATCCAGCCGGCCACCCTCCAGCTGGCCTCCTGCCGTAGTCCTCCTGCCCCTCTCCAGGCAAGCCTCCTGCCCGCCGGCTCCCGTTCTGCCCAGCACCCCCCACCCACCGTGCCATCCACCATTCACGGCCAGCCAGATGTCCTGTGCAAAATGACAACCAGATCACTGGGCTTCCTGCCTAAAACCACCACCGGCTTCTCAAAACCCTTAGCGGAAAACCCAGCGTATTTTACAGCGACTCCCAACATGCTGTGTGATCGGGGGCCTGCTCTCCACCTCGACCTCACCTCACACCTTGATCGCCGTGCTCCCTGCATGGACCGAGCTTGTTCCTACCTCAGGGCCTTTGCACTGGCTGCCCCCGCCCTTCTGCCCCGCCCACCCTGCTCTGTTCCCAGATCTCCATGTGGCTGACCCTTTCCTGTCGTCCACGTCTCCACACAAGCGTCACCTCGGGAGAGGCCTTTCCCAATCACCCAGAGCACGGCCAGATCCTCGCTGGCCCCAGCTCAACTTGCTCTCTTCACAGTGCTCACTGCCCCCAACGTCGGCTCATTTATGTCCTGGCTGACTCCCTTCCCGCTGGCCCCACTCGCTAAGCCCACAAACTTCATCCAGCTTCCGCAGCACTCAGGCTCGCGGCGCTGGGAGGCAGCGGGGACGGAGGAAAGGCGCCCGCACTCAAACAGGGTGCGGTGTGAATCGGAAACCTGGAAGGCAAGATTTCCAGGCTTGGGAAGGGCAGCCGGGGCGGCTCACCTTGAGCCAGTTGTGTGATCTCTTGGCGATCTCGTAGGTGGCGTCGACGTCCAGGGTCTTTACCATCAGCCCCTCGCAGGAATCTGAAGGAGACAAGGAAGCGTGGCCTTCGTGAAGCCCCGGGCTCAGGACGGCCAGCTGGCTTCCACCAGGGCAATCGCCCGGGGCGGGGCGGACACACGGCGGCCGGCCCCAGGCCCCCTCACCTTTCACGGACTGCTCCAAGAACTCGGCGATCTGGTCTGTGTCCTTGGTGTCCAGAGAGGTGGCGAAGACGAACTCGCCCTCCGTCTGCACGAAGTTCTCCCGGAGCAGCTGTCGGCGCCGGGAAAGGGGCTCGCGTACCAGGGACTGAGGGGGCAGGAAGGGAGAGGAAGGGGCGTCACCGTGGGAGTAGAGAGAGCATAAATCTGACTGGGGGGAGACGGGAAGGCTGTGTCGCACAAGCCACCACGCAGGCTACGACGATCGCCCTGGGAGGGAGGAGCCACACCGGCCCAAGGACGCGAACCAATTTCAAGTAGAGGTCAAGAGCACCGAGGGGGCTGGAGGCCGTTAGTCCTGTGCCCTCCTGTGCGTAAGGCGGGGCCCCGGCCCTGCTGGAGTCAGAACGGACTCTTGTCATAGTGACTACCGTTCGTTGTTTTGGTTTTTTTTTTGATGTTTATTTACTTGAGAGAGAGAGAGAGAGAGCGAGCAGGGGAAGGACTGAGAGAGACCATCCCAAGCAGGCTCTGCACAGTCAGCACAGAGCCTGATGCAGGGCTGGATCTCGCGAACCGGGAGATCACGACCTGAACTGAAACCGAGAGCCAGACGCCTCACCCACTGAGCCACCCGGGCGCCCCCAAACGCTATCTTTCACATGCATCGTAAAAGTGGGTGGTTCAGGCACCGGCCGGCCGTTCGGCATCAGGACCTCGCCCGGCTTCCTCCGTCGAGGCAAAGGGCGAACCGGCCTCCGGGGGAAGGAGCTCTGCAGGCCGACAAGACACTAACAAGAAGCCGCCAGACCGGTAAGTCGCAGAAAGGCTGAAAAGATGCTCGGGTTCGTGAGTCGAGTGCAAGCGGTCGCCTTTCGGCTGCGAGATCGCCAAAGGCTAATTGCCTATAGGATGATGGTGGCGATGGCGCCGCATTTCATAGAATAAACACCGGTACGCGTCAGCCACCACGCCTGGGTCCCACGGCTCCCTCTGTCCCGAAGCAGGCGGGGCAAGGAGCTGCTGGGAGCTCTTTATCGTGGATGAGGAAGCTGAGACTCAGAGAGGTTGAATCACTTGTCTGCGGCCCCACAGCCAGGGAGGGAGAGCTGGGCTGCGGGTGACAGCAGGTGGCCCGGCTCCAGATTCTCAACCCGTGCCCTGGAGCAGCGGCGCTCAAACGTCCCGGTCTCAGCATCCCCTCATGCTTTTTTTTTTTTAATATCTTATTTTTAAGCACTCTCTACGCTGGGTGTGGGGCTTGAACCTACAACCCCAGGATCAAGAGTCGCCAGCTCTCCTGACTGGGCCAGCCGGGCGCCCCACCGACCTCACACCCTTGGAGTTTACTGAGGACTCACTCCAGAGAGCTTTTGTGTCCAAAAAAGGGTTACTCTCCCTGATATTTACCATAGAAGTGATACAATATCAGCTACTACGGCCCATGTTAACGCAGTTGCCGTATTAAAAGTGAGAAACCTTAACATTTATTAATTCACTTCCAGGGCACCTGGGTGGCTCAGTCGGTTAAGCGTCCGACTTCAGCTCAGATCGCGATCTCGCCATTCCGGAGTTCAAGCCCTGCGTCGGGCTCTGCGCTCAGAGCCTGCGGCCTGTTTCAGATTCTGTGTCTCCCTCCCGCTCTCGCTCTGTCTCTCTCAAAAAAATATAACTCCAGGGCGCCTGTGTGGTTTACTCAGTTAAGTGTCCGACTCTTGATTTCAGTTCAGGTCACAACCTGTTTGTGAGTTCGAGCCCCCGCGTCGGGCTCTGTGCCGACAGCTCAGAGCCTGGAGTCTGGTTCGGATTCTGTGTCTCCCTCTCTCTCTCCCCCTCCCCCCGCTCCCACTCTGTCTCTCTCTCTCTCAAAAAAAAGTAAAAAAGTAAAAAAAAAAAAAAAAAAACCCAATATGTTAACCCAACAACATGCTTTCATGAAATGTGCCTATATTAGAAAAAAAACGAATGAGAAGAGGGGCATTACTTTCCATGTTTGCAAATTCTTTAAAGTCGGGCTTTTTTTTTTTTATGTTTGTTTATTTTTGGGACAGAGAGAGACAGAGCATGAGCGGGGGAG